AATGATAAAGCAATTATGAAAATAATGAAACTGATATATCTTTTTTATAACAGTTGAAATAATGTTAATAAAAAAGATAAAAATAATAATAAAAACAATAATAAACTAATAATGACAGTAATACATATAATACAATTAGTAATAATGATATAGAAATATAAAAAATATGATAATAAAAAAGATGACAATGATAACAGAGATTATGATAACAATTATAGTCTTAACATCAGTAACACTAACATCAATAATGATAATGATGATCATATATTGATAAAAATATGAATATTTTTTTTATATCAAAAATAACATTAGCATTGCCTTCATTAGTTTTAAATCACAGTAATATTAATAACAATAATAGGTATAATGATGATGCATATATCTATAAAAAGAAAAATAATGATAAAAGATTAATAAGTATAATAAAAAAGATAATGTCAATATTATTAATCTCAATGATAATGGAAACAATAATCATAATATTAATAAATAATGATAAAAATAGTTATTATTAACAATATTCATTAGAAACATAATAATAACAATTATTGACAAATAAATGTAATCTTTATTATCAAATATTATTAATTATTAACAAATAATATTAATAATAATATTAATTATTAATTGATAATAATATCAATTAAATATATAATAATAATATTTTCATTAATAATAATCTTAATGAAAATGGCAATAGTGATAATGATAATTATAATAATAATCACATACATAGTAATGATATTATCAATAATGCTAATAATAACATCCATATACATAATGATAACAGCAACAATGGTAATAATTGCAGCACCATTACCTGGTTGTGTATGTCTGACACAATTATAAATAGTCTATGTTAAAACTGGAAGTTTACTTTTGTTAAACATCTGCAACTTTGTGTTTGTCTATCTCGAAATATATTCAACGGTCATGTAATGACGTGCAATGCATTTTCTATGACCTATCAAATGTATGTCCTCACATTAAACTATCTATCTTTCCTACTTTTATGCCTTCAATCTCATTTCCATATATTTCTCTGCTCAATAATTTATGCATTCATGTATCTGCTCATGCTTGTGAAATAAGCAAACGGGAGCTTGTATATAACCAGTAAAGAATGTGAACTCTCACACCCATGAACATCAATGCGAGGGGCATGACCTAGATCTCCTTTGGTTGGTTGGACCATCTGCAAGTAGCAGTCATTCATGTGCCATTCAAACATCATAATGTACAAATAGAATACTGGACAATATGCAGAATGACGTAGTGCCTGACTTTGGAGATAAAACCTTTATAATTTGATAGACCAATACAAACCAAGACACTTTTCTTCTACGGCAATATTTGTGCAAATGCTATACATAAATAGAGGAGAAAGCCCAATACTGGTTGGACCTACACACCCTTGCACCTGATTGGTCTACCTTTTGATATCAATGTGAATAACAATAATAGAGTGTAATAGTTTTTTTTTTTTATACCAATGACTGCAAATCATTATCATTTACAATAATGTCATCTTCAGGTAGTCCTATTACTGTATCCTTACTATAAAGATTTACCCAAAAGCCTCAGAGTACCCAATGCGTAAGCAACAGTACAAATTTGACATTAAAAATAAATCTCCCCAATTTTCCTCATGAAATGACAGATCTCCATCCAGCCTCTTGTAAATTATGATTATTTACTCTTACTTTGGGTTACAAGGAAACATAGCTAATGAAAGGGGTCTGGAATAGAGCCCTCAGCCTGAGAAATATGTCCATCAGAGAAGGTCCCATGCTGGAGCCCTCTCCCCTCTCCCCTCCCCCCCCCCAAAAAAAAAAGAAATCCCCACTAATCCAAAGAAATTGTAGAGGATAAGGTGAAAAATATAGGAAAAAAATTCCTTTCCTTTGTAATTACCTCAGAAGTCCCCACATTCAACATGCAACATTGTTGTTCTTTGCTGGAGCACCATCAGGAGCGACAACCTTTGTCTAAAAGTAGCAGTCATTCAGGTGCCATTCAAACGTTTATCATAATCTACAAATAAAATACACAATATACAAACCTTTATAATGTACATAATCACTAGAAACTCTAGGTAAATAAGAATTTAATCTATAAATAAAAGAGTTGCAATTCAAGCACTCATATGACCTTTATTCCACTTTACACTTGTAAATACCAACAATCTCCTCAAAACATATTGTGACATAACAAAATATTTTCTTAGGACTTTTAATCAAACAAAGAATCAATTCCAACTCTTATCTTCCAAAAATAATTGAAGAGGGAGATTTTTTTACCTAATACAGTGATTGTAGCAACTGTGATCTGGATAATTAACAGATTATCAAGTTCTATTGTCTTCTGCTTCTTGACATAGTATCTGATTATCTCTAGATTCGGCATTCCCTCTTTTCTTTACTCACAATCCTTTTCATTCTAACACTTACAAAGCTTCGAAATATCAAATGTTTTTTTCGCTTTCCTCCTTGCCTTCTTCATCAATTATTCTACTTACTTATTTCCTTCCGCCACTCCACATTGCTCTCGGAGTTTTCATAGTAAAAATAAAATAAAACTAATAATGTACTAACAACTTTGTAATATACTAACCACTTAATATTGACACTGCAGTAAACAACACGTTCGCTTGGCTCTTTCACTTTGTTGACGTTCACGTAAGTGAATCCGGATCGCCTGATTCCCACGCTCAAGAGTAAATCCTTTAGAGAAAACGACATAGGGGGGGACTTTTACATTTCATTATTCACATTTACGGTGAATTGTGCTCTATTGTTCTTGCACCATTAGCATGTCTTGTAATGGTTAAAACAAATTAATGTGCTAGACATTAAAGGTCATATAAGAGAGTCAGAGATACAGTAAAAAAAAAAGAAGGAAATAATAATAAATAATAGTAATAGTAATAATATTAAAGGGTATAAAATTATTACCTTGACGTAAAATGAGACATTTCATCCATGGCAACAGGCGCACGAATCGAAAATAAAGGAGATACATGACAGAGAAGAGAGATCAACCAACGCCATATCGAAATCGCGAAGGAAAACATTACTATGAACTCATTACTGCAATCTGTGAATTAGTTCCCTTATTACTTCGCCTAAACATTTATCATATTGTTTATTCAGTTTATTTATCATATTCATTTTATTTATCATATTATTTATTTAAATAAAATACCCAATATACGAATCTTCATTATGTACATAATCATTAGAAACTGTAAAAACAATTATTTTGTCATTTTCAACATCTATTTTCCTAATTCATGTACTGTATGCATTAAAAAAAAAATATTGAAATTATTAAATGTGTTTTGATAGGTATTTACTTTATTCTTTAAAAAAAAATATGACTTTCAACAGCGCGACTTGGCATTCCCTGACAAAGCGCCGCTGAGTAATTTCGTTTTCAGTGCTGCGCCGATCAGGTCATTTCTAAACACAATATAGTCGCTGTGTAGAAGAAATAGACATTAGTGACTATCGCAGCTCAATATGTTAACCCATCAAGTGCCCTAAACGCACAAAAAAGTGATTAGAAACCAGGCCATCCAGACAACAGAAAGAAGCGAAGGAAAGTTTGGTGTTGCGAGATATAAAGGTATTTTGTTTATTCTTTAAGGAATGGATGTAGCTCTCTCTTGCCGTACATACTGAAGTGAAGAGACTGGTTGCCGGGAGATGTTGGGCGCAGAGAATGAACCGTCCCCTCAGGCAGTGCCCGAAATGCATGCCTAGACATGGCAACTTGGATTATTGAATAAAGTTGGGGATTTAGATAGTGTGAATTTCTGGAGATTTTACCAAAATATGGGTTGGATATGTGTATATAAATATATAAATATTCATATATGTGTGTATATATATGTAAACACACATATAAAAATATATATACACATATATATGTATATTTGTGGATTTCAAGTTTGTGAAAGTTGGTGCTAGAAATGATCATCAGATTTGTTCTCATCATATAAGAATAAATCATGATTTGAAAGATATCCCAATGAAGTCAATATCCAATCACATGACTAATAACATTTTAAAAATTTACCCTCTTGTTTTAGCAACAATCATTAATCTTATATTGTGGACATATAATTCACATACTGCAAAAGTGGAAAAAAAGACACACATGCTTATGAATTTTATATCAAGAAATATATAAAACAATTTATAAGTAATGAAAATATAAATCTGAGGCATACATGGAATATGTTTTAGAGTATTGCACTCGGCTTGGCTGGCCAGTGTGTCACTTTCTACCGAGTTACAAACTAACAAAATAAAAAGCACTCAACATGTTTGCACACAAAGAGCAAAAATTATTTTGCACATATTTGAGTGTGACGTTATGCCATATATATATATATATATATATATATATTATATATATATATATATATATATATATATATATATATATTTACATATATATCCCTACCATGACAGGGCCAGAATTCTCTATAAATCCTTATGCAATAGTGTGCTGTGTATAGTTGGCCCACCCATTCGTGATTCATGATGTGTATACACGTCATTCGTCCTTACATCATAATGGCTAAAGGTGTGCCTGTCCTTAAAAGGATATATGAGGACATGACTGCTGGATGCTGCTTTCCCTCTCAGAAATAACTTTAGACACAAAGATGAATGTTCCCTCACATGAAGTCAATTGGCATATCACTTGGAGATTCACTCATGGCCAATACTTCACACACGCTGATGATGGTTGTCAACAAAATCTAAATAAAGATATGAAATACTTGCACCCATTATGATTAACATAAAAAAGATATGAATGAGAATGGATATATTCACATTGAAACAAATGCATTCAATGAACTTTCATCATATCTGCATCAGACATACACATGTATATCACAAGATATAATGAAATGCTTTAAATACAACTCTAGCAGTAAAGAGATATAAATTTTCATTCATGCCTTTTTGAAAAATTTAACAACACAAATTTCTCCCGAATAATTACTTATTGTATAAGAAAAGTATGAAATGATGCATAGATATGATAGAAATATGTATACAGATATATATATACATACATAGATGCAAATGTGTTTTTATGTAAATGGACTTATAGATAACAAAATTCTTTCCTTGAATCAACTTTCATTTACCTTTTAATACAGATCCTATATAGGATTTCACATGAAGAATATGAAGTGTCTGCCTGTAACTGTAGTACCAAAATTATGATAGAAGTTACAAAACACATCTGTATTGGAGAGCAGTTTTTTGAAACACTGTGAACATTAGTGGTTGTGTTTTGACTGCCCCTGTGACATTAAGTCTATGAAAACGAAAATACAAGTCAGAATACACAAAACTACACATAAACAAAATCATATAAAACATAAATAAAAAAGAGAACCTTCAAACTCTGTGATGCATCTGCCACAAAAATGTCAAGAGGAAGTCTTCCTTGTAGATCATTTTAATCCTTCATAATTCTCATGTACCCTTGAAATTTCTTCTGTGGGTGAAGGTATATCTACAGACCTCATACATGTTATTTCTGTGACCTTTATGTACACCAGAGTAATCTTATTTTCACAGAGAATGCCTATATGGTTTCAACTTTGCATGCCTGCAGATAATCACTAAATCATATTTCTTGGAGAATCCTCAGGCACATTGCTCCTTTGCATGCACTCTCTTGTGTTGTGCTAGAATATATTTTAGAGATAAGGTTTTATTGGAAACCAAACATAAATGGCTTATCCTCTGCATGTTCTCCAATGTGATCCACTAAGACTTATCTGAGAAGTCTTTATTGCAAATCTCACTGCTACATGGTTTCTCCTTTGTATGTACTCTTATGTGGCCCACTAAGTTAGATCTATCTGAGAAGCCTTTATTGCAAATCTCACAGCTATATGGTTTCTCCTTTGTATGTAGTCTCATGTGCACTACTAGATGACTTTTTCGAGAGAAAGCTTTTTTGCAAATATTACAGATATGTGGTTTCTCCTTTGTATGCACTCTTGTGTGTTTTACTAAATGACATTTCTGAGAGAAGGCTTTTTTGCAAATATCACAGATATGTGGTTTCTCCTTTGTATGTATTTTCCTGTGTCTCATGAAGGCTGATCTATCTGAGAAGTCCTTATTGCAAATCTCACAGCTATATGGTTTCTCCTTTGTATGTACTCTCATGTGCACTACTAGATGACTTTTTCGAGAGAAGGCTTTTTTGCAAATATTACAGATATGTGGTTTCTCCTTTGTATGTACTTTTATCTCTTTCTCTAATCTAGATTTATCTGTGAAGCCTCTATTGTAAATCTCAAAGCTATATGGTTTTTCCTTTGTATGTACCCTCAAATGCTTCACCAAAGAAGTTTTAACAGAGAAACCTTTTTTGCAAGTGTCACAGCTATATGGTTTCTCCTTTGTATGTACTCTTATGTGCTTCACTAATGCAAATTTTGTTGAGAAGCTTTTTTTGCAAATGTCACAGATATATGGTTTCTCCTTTGTATGTACTCTTATGTGTTTTTGTTGAGAAGCTTTTTTGCAAATGTCACAGATATATGGTTTCTCCTTTGTATGTACTCTTATGTGCTTCACTAATGCAAATTTTGTTGAGAAGCTTTTTTTGCAAATGTCACAGATATATGGTTTCTCCTTTGTATGTATCGTCAAATGCCTTACCAGAGAACCTTTAACAGGGAAAGCCTTTTTACAAATGTCACAGATGTATGGTTTCTCCTTTGTATGTACCCTCAAATGCTTCACCAAAGAACTTTTAATAGAGAAAGCTTTTTTGCAAACCTCACAGATATATGGCTTCTCCTTTGTGTGTACTCTCATGTGCACTACTAGAGAACCTTTCTCACAGAAACCTTTTTTGCAAATGTCACAGACATATGGTTTCTCCTTTGTATGTACTCTTTTGTGCTTTACCAGGGAAAAGGCTCTTTTGCAAATCTCACAGATAAATGGTTTCTCCTTTGTATGTACTCTCATGTGCACAACTAGAGAACCTTCATCAGAGAAAGCTTTTCCACAAATCTCACAGCTATATTGTTTCTCCTTTGAATGTAGTCTCACGTGCTTTACCAGAGAAAAGATTTTTTTACAAATCTCACAACTATATGGTTTCTCCTTTGTGTGTACTCTCATGTGCACTACTAAATGAGTTTTCTGAGAAAAAGCTTTTCTGCAAATATCACAGATATGTGGTTTCTCCTTTGTATGTACTCTCCTGTGTCTCACTAAGTGATATTTTTGTGAGAAGTCTTTATAGCAAATGTCACAGCTAAATGGTTTCTCCTTTGTATGTACTCTCAAGTGCACTAGCAGATTACATTTCAGAGGGAAGGCTTTGCTGCAGATTTCACAGCTGTATGGTTTCTCCTTTGTATGTACTCTCATATGCCTTAGTAGAGCAAATTCCTGTGAGAAAGCTCTGTTGCAAATTTCACAGCTGTATGGCTTCTCTTTTGTG